CGATTTTCAATCATCCCCCCCCCCCCCCCCCTTTTTTTAGCACGGGGGCGTGGCCGCTGTCTAAATTAAATAATTTAAATGCTTAAAATGCATGCACATTGAGGAATAATTTAAAAGATTAACACAGAGGACGACCTTTTCCACTCGAAGTGCCGTTATTTTTATTGTTAATAACTGTGCTAAATTTAGGGCATTCTTGTACAGGCCTTCAGGAGCAGACTGGAAAAGTGTCCTGCTGATTTTTTTGTATCTATTTATTTAGCTACTTATTCGTTATTACTTAAAGGCACAATATGTAAGATTTTTTTTTATTAAAATATCCAAATACCACTAGGACAGTTTTATATATTTTGCTGAATTGTGTACTTACATTATCCCAAATGTTTCGAAGAATGTTTAAATCCAGAGAAATAAGGAATTTTAACTAGTGACACGAACCGTGTCCATAGTGTCATTGTGTCGCCTGCCAATGACGTCATACACCCTCGATTTCCGTTGTTTTGTAGAAAACATGGAAACACCAAAGACATTTTAATATGCCATGCATTTTATTAGACACGTGACGACCGCACAGAGTAGCATTATAACAGAACGTTCAAATGTATCTAGTATGATAAAACAGCGCTGCTTACTTCCGCTGCTTTCCGGAAGGAGCGGAAGCGGTCGACTGTGGCATAATAAAAGCTCTGTTGCTTTCGAGCCGTGTGTTACGCTCGTTCAGCGGCCTCGTTTTGCTTCGACGGCTTTCCGCCTCACTCTGCTTCATACTACGACGTTAATAAATCTTTAATACATTAGCTCATCCATGAACATGATTTCTGCCCGAGTCCCATCGGATTTCTTCGTCTGTGGGGATGAAGACAACAACTCCCATGATTCCACACTCAGTCACGGCGTCATCTAACTACGCCTTTATTTGTTTGTTTGTTTTGAATACGCGCCCTCCAGTGGCAAAAAATTACATATTGTGCCTTTAATTTTATTGAATGTCTGTTGCATCCAAGCAATAGGCTACTCTTGAATTGCTGCACTATAGCTACAGTAGCCTATATATAGCCAGCACGATA